CAGAGCCAGTTAATTCGAATTAAAGGGCCCTTTAAATCGATTTCTGTACTCCACCTCGACGAACGGAGTAGAGCCTAAATCGATTTTGTTAATTCGAATTAGGGTTAGTGTGGCCGCACACCACCGAATTACTGTGTTTAAGTTAATGGGGTAGTGTGGCCGCACACCACCGAATTAATGTGGTTAAAAACCGAATTAAGGTGCTTAGTGTGGCCGCGCACAATCGAATTTATACAACCTGTTTCCCAAATTCGAATTATCTAAATTCGGATTAATCCTGTAGTGTAGACATACCCTAGGTGGAGTGCTTGCAAATCAGTGGAACTGGCCAAGAACAAAGCAAATTAGAAGGGCAGTCTGATTAATCTTGGTTATCTTACTTCCCAGCTTCCAGGCAGTGCTGTGGTGTATGCATTTAGTACCACGGGGCCTACAAAGCAGGGTGTTACACAAGCTATGAGTTTTTCATTGGGACAAAAAGCCTTCACTCAGGGTTTTACATATCACGGATAGGGAGTGCAAAGGCATATTGACAGAATACAGAGTCATTGCACATGGGTAGAAGGAACCTCAGCAAATAATACTTTTGAATAATAAACTGTTTCCAAGGACTATGCCCAAGCTTGCAGTCTTTGTCTGGACAAAAAAGCCAATACTCTGGATGTTTTCTTGATATTATCATTTGATCTGATATATATTACCTGACATTTGGTGGGTGGGAGAGGCAAACAAACCTCCAGAATCTGCAGTTTGACTTAAGCAGCTATGGTTTTCAGATGTGAAGTAAATTAGAGGCTTACACCCAACCCTGCTCACTTTAGTGTCTGGTCCACATATAAGAATATACTAAAAGACTTGTGGATGTCCAGCAATGTACTATCTGTTACTAGCTTCTAAAGAGAAACCACAGGATTTGGAACATATCAATTACTGTAGGTGAAAGTATCAAACAAGTCTTCTCTACTATGCATTCTTGATTTTTTTGTACAATGAATTTGACCCAGAGCAGGATGTTGTTCCCATCTCATACCAGACTTAAATTGTAGCCCTTAGGGTGTTTTACAGTCAGTATGGATGGGACCCTTCAGGTTCATCTCCTCTGGAAAAAAAAAACTAAAAGTTCGATCTGTGGTTCTTCCCTAGAACAGAGAATAAAGTGCATCTGCTTAGATTCCTCCTACTCCTTTCTGTGAACTGAAAAAGAGGTAGAGTGTGTGTTGAATTCTTGCCCTAGCAAACTTGATTGATTTTTTTTTTTTTTTTTTACTACTACAAGTATTAAGAAAAGTCACAATGTGAACATTGTAGAACAGTTCAGAAGGGATGTTAAAGTAATTATTTACTGTATTTAATCTTTATATGCCTGGTTTTAAATTGACAAAGTGAATGAGGTAGTATCTTTTATTGGACCACTTCTGTTGGTGAGAGAGAGACAACCTTTCGAGCTTACGCAGAGAAGAGTTCTTCCATTGACCTAGCTGTTGCCTCTATGAGAGTTGGACTTACTACAGTGGCACAGCTGCAGTTCTGTAGCATTTCTAGAGTGGACATACCCCATCACTTTAACTTCTACTGGCTTGCCCCCCTAAATTGGAAAACAAACCACCTCTTTAAATGAGTGGCTTCAAGGGCATCTCTGGCAACATGATTTTATTAGTCCTACTTCCAAAGGATGGGGTTGGCAGCGGTATGGGCCTTTGTGTGGATACCCCTGACTTCCAGCAGATCTCAGAGACTTGAAGATTCTGGGGCCTAAGCCTCTGGGTGGTTCTTGCGGGGTGCGATGCACTCTTCTACCTCAACTCTCCCCACCCAAAAAAAAAAAAAATTCCAAAGAAACATAAGTAGAAAAATGGAAGCTTCCTGTCCCTTCACAGTTGATGATGTCGCCCTATGTTGGAAAGATTTTTAACTTACCAGTTCTCAGCCTAAAAATTGCTTTTAGAAAACATATATAGAAAGGTTCTGCCAAGACTTTGTTATGAAGAGTGTAGTGTGACTTTAGAGTTGAGTAAATAACTAACATAGTAAAAACCTTCAAAAGTCTAAGAACAAGGCAATTCAATTGAATTTGGCCAGTACGTGATCATTAGTAAGAAATGTGTTTTTAAAGGAATTAAATGTTGGCAGTATTTAGCTATTTTGTGTTTCTTTTGATCTTTTAAATAAATTGGTAGCCAATGGGCATGAGTTTATTTGGTTTAGTGGAGAACCCCTTTGCCACCTTTGGCCAGGTAGGTTTAAGTAAATTTATTTTATGAGTGGTCCATTCCCTGATCTCCATCAACACTGTAACTCCTGGGGTGAAGGCTTTCTATTTCCCCTCCCTTCCCTTCCTCAGTGTATGATTAGCCCAATCTCTTCAGGTAGAAATTTACTGTCCTGGCACAGTATTGCAGTTAGGTGCATTTTTGGTTTTATTTTCAGAGAGACTATGTAGTCAGACCTCCTGTATAATCCAGCATTAGTCGCTGTAACAGGATAACTGAGTAGATGCACCATTGGTCTTCGTCAGGGTGACAAATTTTAAGACACCATTCTTAAACACCAGAAAATAATGGAAACTGATTCTAAGGCCTGTCACTATCCACCATTAGGAGGGCTTTGCTGGTTTATACCAGGTAAACTGGCAAAACCTTCCTAGTAAAGATGCAGTTATATATTTATACTTGTGCCAGCTTCCTGATCAGTATAAGCACTTTTATACAGATATGTGTGACTATACTAGAGCTTTTACCAGTATAGCCACGTTGGCTTAAAAAAACAAAACAAAACAAAAAAAAAAACACTCCTAACTAACATAGCTATGCCAGCAAAGCTTTCTAGTATAGACCTGCCCTGATGCTCCTAGGAGGCAAGTGGGTAAGGGAAAATGACATGGACACAAATATTTTCTGTAAAAAAAAAAAAAAAAAAATTGTCTGCACTACGTCACCTTTGCCAGTGATTCTGTTCTGTGTGAGGCATTGTGTTCTTGTTTTTTGCTCCCAACGCTCAGTTTGAAGTCATGGACCATTCCATCTCAAACTACCGAAGGCCAGGTCTACATCAGAAACTTTCACTAGTATAGTAACATCAATTAGGGGTGTGTGGTTTTTTACACTTCTATACCAGCAAAAGCCCTAGTATAGCCGTAACAAGTGCTATTGCCAGTATAACTTAGGCTAGGTCTACACTGGGGGGGGATTGATTTAAGATACGCAAATTCAGCTACGCAAATAGCGTAGCTGAATTGGACGTATCCGAGCCGACTTACCCCGCTGTGAGGACGGCGGCAAATCGACCGCCGTGGCTCCCCCCTCGACGGCGCTTACTCCTACCTGCGCTGGTGGAGTATGCGCGTCGATTCGGGGATTGATTGTTGCGTCCCGACGAGACGTGATAATTCGATCCCCTAGAGATCGATTTCTACCCGCCGATCCAGGCGGGTAGTGAAGACAGGCCCTTATTTTATTTGGGAAACCGGTAATATACCAGTGAAAATACTTTTGCCAGTATAAGCCGTGTCTAGAGACTCTAGAGTAGGAGAGTTTTTTCTACATCTTGTCTAGTGTAGAGTAGGCCTGAGTGAGAGCCAGCACTCTTATTAACTCTTGTGGGTTTTTCCTAAAGGGGTTGGGGTGCTTAAACTATCCCCCTGCCCAAGAGTATCTCTTGTAAATGCTAAGGTGCTAGCCCTTTTGAGATATGACCTACAGTTTCTTGCTCACCTCTTGAAACTGACAGTTCTACTTAACCTAGATTTTAACTTCTAGTATTGTTAAAGGTGACCCTGAAATTATAGCAATATCAAAAAGATTTCCATTCAAGGGAAAGAAGAAACATGTTTCGGGGATTTTTAAAATTTTCTTTTAATGTCAAGATGAACTGAAGTTTGCACATTAGAGACATCAAACTTAACATCTAATCAGAGGAGAACTATCCACAGCATTTAATTAGTTTGACAAGGATCTGAAATTTGGACCATAAAGTTACTGTGTGCTAACTTGACAGGAACAAAAGTCTAAAGCTGACTTTAATTGTAAGTGGAATATTGGTCCACTACTAAAAGTAGATGTTAATGAAGGATTTGTAATGTATTAAAATAGCTAATGTCAATACTGTAAAATTAATGTTAAAGTTAAACAAGAAAATGTGGGGTTTGACTTACAGCTTATGCTTTCACTCCTTTGACGTTTTGTAGACACCTTGGGCTAACGTAGCAGCACATAATGGTTTGTGGGTTTTGAAAAGGTGCAGGCCATATTGTGCTGCCTCAAAAATACAAGGATTTCATCCTCCTGAAGAGAAATGTCACTTATGAATTAACATGATCCTGATGTCAGCAGTACATTAGCAGCACGTAAATATTGGCGTTAACTCTGTAAATATCTCCAGTATTAACTGTGCTGCTGAAGTAAAGTTGGCCATTCTCTGCAAATGATCCTAAGGAAGTACTTTGATGTCATCCGACTTATCTTCTGAGTGTGTTAATTCATGTTGTAAAAAAAAAAAAGAACTTATTGTTTTTGTTCTATATTTTGACCAGTTCAGTACAGATTTTTAGAACCACATAGAATCTGGCAGTAAATCTAGAACATTTCCTTTAACACTGAATTTAGTATAGGAACCGTCTCAGACTACAGCCTTCTTCATAAACATTTATGAACATTTTGTCCACATGGTTATTGTACAAACTTAAATTAGTTTAAATCTCTGCATGACTTTAATAAAGCTAATGAGATTTGAATTGTTTTGTTTTACTTTCACAGCACTTCCTATACCATTACAAATTTAAAATATATTTTGTCAATTGTTCCTCAAGTTCATCAGCTACAGCTAGAATGACTTCAGAAACTCTTTTGAACAAAAGTGGCAGTGAAAAGTTAATTATTCTAAAATTATTTCTCGCATTATAATAGCTATAAATATGTAAAAAAATAGTTTTAAAAGTATATTCTCTACAGTTGATTGCAAGATAACTAAGTTTCTCATCATCTACTAAAATCTTTCTTCTTCAGAGGAGTATTGCATTGAGACAACTGAATCTGCCACAGTAAGGATGGAAATTGCATGGGTTTCTTTCCTTTTCTTACATGCAGCGTTTAACTGTGTGGTGAGTCAAATGTAGACTTTATTGGTTATGTAAATGTGTCACTAATTTTAGATACAGTCAAGATCTTAAAGTGTTTCCTTTATGATCTTTTCTTCACTATCATGACTCAGTATCACTTGCTAGATCTAATTGTATTAGCCCTATTACATTTTACCATTATAAATCATACTTGTCCTCAAACCATACTGGCTTACATTTTAACTTATCTCCACCGGAGATTTGCCCTGATTCAGGCCTCAGTGGCCAGCCACCAGTGTGGCTGAACAGATGGAAACCTCTAATGTAGATGGGCAAAGCTGTTATGCTATAATTTTTTTCACCACGTACAATTTCAAAGAAGGGTCTGCTGTACTGGTACAAATCACAACTTTGCTTATCTATAGTATGGGCTTGCACTGGTGGACCTTACTACAGTGGCTGTTCACCTATGACTGAAATTTTCAGTTTAGGTGACACTGGACAGTCTTAGGGAATTATCTTTCACTATCAGGAAATGCTCAGTATGGGTTGCCTATTAAACACTTCAGTGTAAGTTGTTAGTATATCAAGTTTACAGGAAGAAAAGAAATGGTTAGCTAATTGGTGTAACACTGAGGTAGTCAACCCCATTTGAAACTAACTCAAAAAAATTCACTCTAGCCAAACCTTTGAGTGTCGAGGTGTCTGTCTTGTGTCCCATCTGAGGACATTTTGCCAAAGTGAGGTTCACTATCTGGTGTATGTTAGGTACCTGATTTAGAACTAGACAGTTTTCCTATTGGGGCTTCATCTATCAGCAGTGTGCTGTGACATTTACCATAGGAGACTTTACACATGCATTCCAACAGTCAGAGAGAATCAACTTTTATATGAATCCCTGCCGAAGAAGGTCACTCTCTAGCAGGAGGCTTGTCTTCTTGAGACTCTCCTTTCTGCAAAAGTCACCGATATAGCTAATATACTGCAGCCCAGGCTGTCAAGATGGTTGATTTTGTAGGCCCAGTGCCTTAGTATTTCTGGCCTCTGCTGCTAAGACCATTATGAGAGCTGATGTGAACCTACAAAGCTGGTCACAGATATTGCATGTGGCAGCTTCTCTAAGTGCATTTGCATGGCTTTGACATCCAAACTGGAGAATTTAAAGAGATTGTACTAGTGAGCTGAAGCTGGATGGAAATCTAGGGAGACCAATATCTAATTGGGAGGAAACAAACTGTGCACATACCATTCTCTTTCTGCTGAACCAAGAAACTATCAGAAAAACACCTGCCAGTTTGCAGTGTTTTTTACCCTAGTCTTCATCCTCTGCATAATCATAGGCTCTGTAATAGAAATGTCACTGACACTTCCCTTTATAATCAGTTGCTTATAACTTTGCCAAACTTTAACCATTTGGGTTGCAATTTTCCACTCAGGGTCTCTGCCACATGTGGATTTTATTTTTCCCTCCCAGCTGTTTCAGAGAACATTAGGGAAAAATACATTGTTTGGCCTATGTTAAAAAAAAAAAAATGCTGGCAACCTTTTCCTTGAAAAAATCTCTAGTGCCCTGTGCTTTGGAGCAAGGACTCCAAATTTGGGTGTGCGATGGTCTTTGTGTCTGGGATGTGTCTTTGTGAAAAATCCACCCAAGTCTGGGCAAGTTAAGTCTGTGAAAAATTGCACTTTGCACATGCTTAAGTAAACTTCTTAGATTTTAGCAGCTAACTTCCCCAAAGATTTTGTGTGCACTGGGCATGCTCCGGCCCATAGCTGAGCAGGGCTTTCTGTGAAAGTTCAGCTCTCGAGCAGCTGAAATGAGAGTAGGGAGCCTGTCACTGCTGTGCTTTCAAAGACAACCCCCTTGCTGGGCCGAGGCAAGTTGGAGGAAGAAGCTGCCTGATTCAAATGCAAAGGGGACAAGAGCCGACCCTACAGGGGGAGTAGATGGGAACATGGGGGTGTGGGTAACAGACTGGGACAAGGGAGAGAAATAGTGGAGGGACTGAGACACAGCAGCTGGGATTGGGTGGGCAAGGAGCTAGGGGGAGGAATGGGGATAGGAGGAGGGATTTTGAAAAGGTCAGACTAGGACAGGGGTGGGCAAACTATGGCCCATGGGCCGGATCTGGAGCCCGCTGCCTTCCCCTCCCCCAGGGGCCGCAGGGACGTGGTGCCGGCTACTTCGGGGAGTGGTGCGGGGCCAGGGCAGGCAGGGATCTTGCCCTGGCCCTGATGCGCGCCGCTGCCACCCCAGAGCCCGTACCCCAAACCCCTCCTGCAGCCCCGCCATGAGCCCCCTTGTACACCCTGCACCCCTCCTGCGCCCCAACCCCTTGCCCTGAACCCCTTCCTGCACACTGCACCCCTCCCACACTCCCTCCCACACCCCAACTGTCTGCCCCAGCCCCTATATTCATAGCCCTGCATGCAATTTCCCCACCCAGATGTAGCCCTCGGGCCAAAAAGTTTGCCCACCCCTGGACTAGGATTTGCTGAGCAAAGATACTGGAACAACGAGCCTGTGGAGTTCGAACTGGGACAGCATGGAGAGTGGCTCCTTGCCCCAGCCACAGGAGTAAAGAAGATCCAGGACGGGGACAGATTGGAGAGGATAAGCAGAAGGAGGCAGACTGTGGGGATGGCAGAAGAGTCTGTGCCTACTAGAGAACACTCCCCTCCAGAGCTTGGAATGGAACCCAAGACTCTTGGAATCTCATAAGTTCTCTGCTGTAAGCAAATATCTGTGTAACCCACTTGCAAAGTGGCCCATTCACTCCTTGTGCGGGTCCACATAGAAGATGACAAACTACTGTTGCTGTCAGTTACTCCATTAGCTCAAGTGGCGGAGGGTCTTTGCATTGAAGCTAAAGTTTCCAACTCTGCTGATGTCCTGCCTGGATGTCCATATGATGTCACCTGATGGAATTTCTATTTTTTAAAAAACCTAATGTTCCATGTGTAATTTCCTATGTTAAAAGAACATAATTAAAGTTAGTCAAGCACTCAAAAATTGGGAAATGCCAGAGTTAATTGTGCCTATGCCCATTTGTTGCAGAAGTTGAGGTGTGTAATATTTGTAGTACTAGAACAGACAGAGCTAGGCTTGCCCATAACTAAAGCTCTTTTCCCTCTCTTTCTTTCCCCCTTCCCCCACCTCAAATATAGGGGAAGGAACCACTAAGTCCAGGCTACAATTGATTGCTGGGGACAGCAAAGGAGAAAAGAGGAACAGGAGTGAGGTTAAAGATTGAAAATCCAGGGAAACAGCGCAAAGAATCCCAGAGAGCACCCACTGCTTCCACTGCTCTACAGCCAAAATGCTTCTGAAATAAATGTAGTCAAACTTTACTAATTCTGGGTCACTGAGAACGAAAATGATGCTTAAAATTGTTGATTGGCTCTAGTTTTCAAGATATGCTATTGGGTCAGTATATATGACCCTTGACTTGGGAATGGTGGAGGATAAGTGAGTTATAAAGGGAAGGGATCTCAATTTAAACCAGAAATGACTAAAATACATCTTTGACTGGATCTATGAATAAATCTATGACTGGGTTTGGACAGTACTTGCTTTTTAGGCAAAACAATGAATGATGCAATCTGAAGCTGGTATTGCATCATACATGAGATGAATTGCATCATGTTATTCCTAGAAGTCATGGATGATGCAATCATAACAAAGCTTACATCACTCTGCTGAACAAATTGCCCTATATCAGCTCTAGAAATCATACAGTGTCGTGCTCTTTTATTTGTCAGTGTTTGATTTTGCAAAGGGACACATTTCTGTTTAGCCAAAGTGAGCAGAGATGCCTCATACTTGTGTGAACAGTGCAGATAACTTCTGCTATGTTTGTGGTGAAGTGACTTTTGCATCACAAAAGCGCAGTATAACGACTATGGTTAAGAAAGCCTATCACCTTTATTTTGGCTGCAAAATTGGAGATCGGGACAAGAGGTGGGCCCCACACATATGCTGCAACACTTGTGCAACAAATCTTCGCCAGTGGTTGAACAGGAAAAGGAAATCTATGCCTTTTGCAGTGCCAATGATTTGGAGAGAGCCAACAGATCATACCAGCAATTGTTACTTCTGCATGGTGCCTCCAGTTGGGAAAGGTGTGTCAAAGAAGAAAAAGTGGACTGTGCATTATCCAAACATTCCATCAGCTATACGCCCAGTACCCCACGGAGAAGGACTGCCGGTTCCTGATGCACCAGAATCATTCTCACTTGAGTCAGAAGAGGAAGAGGATGAAACTTCTGGTCCTGAACCATCAATGTCACAGGACCCACATTTTCTCCCATCCTCCTCCTCTGAACCACACCTCATAACACAAGGTGAACTGAATGACCTTGTCAGGGATTTGGAACTACCCAAGAGTAAGGCAGAGCTGTTGGGCTCCAGACTACAGCAGTGGAATCTCCTGGCAGGTGATGTTAGGGTTTCCATGTTCCGTGACCGTCAAAAGGATCTTGTCCCATTCTTCTTCATGGAAGGTGATTTGTAGCCTGCAACAACATCGATGGTAGCCCTCAACATCGTTCACGATCCAGATGAGTGGAGACTGTTCATTGATTCATCGAAGACGACTCTTAAAGCTGTTTTACTGCATAATGGCAATGTTTTGCCATCAATTCCAGTTGGTCATGCAGTCCATATGAAGGAAACCTATGACAGCATGAAACAACTTTTGAGGTGCATAAACTATGACCAACATCAGTGGCAGCTTTGTGGCGATTTGAAGGTTGTTGCTCTCTTGCTTGGTCTGCAGACTGGATACACAAAGTACTGCTGTTTTCTCTGCGAATGGGATAGTCGTGCAAGAGATTCCCACTACATCAAGAAAGATTGGCCACTCCGACAGTCATTGGAGCCTGGGAGGAAAAGTGTTCAGCATCCACCACTTGTTGAATCAAGGAAGATTTTGTTACCACCCTTACACATCAAGCTGGGTCTGATGAAGAACTTTGTCAAGGCCATTGACAAAACACAAGCAGATTTCAAGTACCTCCATGGAAAATTTCCAAGGTTAAGTGAAACTAAGATAAAGGAAGGTGTCTTTGTTGGTCCTCAGATTCGTGAACTTCTTTGAGATGATGCATTTGACCATGCACTGCGTGGCAAGGAAAAGACGGCATGGAAAGCCTTCCAGTTAGTGGCAATAAATTTTCTCGGAAACAACAAAGCAGACAACTACAGGTTGTTGGTGGAAAACCTCCTCAAGGCATACAAAAACCTTGGTTGCAACATGTCACTAAAGATACATTTTTTGCACTCTCATCTAGATTTTTTTCCACCGAACTGCGGAGCAGTGAGTGCCGAGCACGGCAAGCGATTTCACCAGGACATTGCAACAATGGAGAAACGCTATCAGGGCAAATGGAGCCCATCAATGCTTGCAGACTATTGCTGGACAGTGACAAGAGATGCTCCATTTAATGAATACAAGAGACAAGCCAAGAAGCGCCGAGTAGACACTGAATAGGACTAAACTATGAACATAATAGTTTTTTGCCTTTTGTTTCATAATAAATTTTATTTATATAACCCTTTTGCTGATTTTTAAAGTGTTACATAAACAGGACAGGTGACATATTATCATGTAAAGCAACCATAAACACATGAAAAGACCTAGGTTTACAATTTATGATTAAAACTCTACTATCTACACAATATACATAGACATAAAATGTAAAAACTTAAATATCTTAGAAACAGTAGCCCATCAGTTGTTTTAATTGTCATATTTGAATTCAGCACATCAAAATACATAATAAATAGCACATTTTATCTCTGAAGCAGACGACTTCTCAAAAATTGTAGACCAGTGTTCTCAAAGGCATCCAAGGAAACAATGGACACTGCCCAGAGGAACTCCGCCTGGAGATGTGAGCAGACAAGGGACAATAAAAAGGCCCCACAATAGCAGAGCACCCCCCCACCCCATCCAGCTTCCTCCTCTTGGAGTGATAGATGGCCATCTTGGCCAGTGTCCAGAAGATGTTGACAAGGAGGTCCCATGACTTTGTGGAGCCATGGATGAAGTGTACAAAAATCAGGAGGTGTGGGGAAAAGGGGCAGCCAGAACCTCAGGAGGAGGTTCTGGATGATCCACAAGAGGGGCTGCAACCTGATGCACTCTACATAGATCTCAAGGGTTGCTGTAAAAGGAACCTGTATCAGAAGAGTTTGTGAACCATGCCAGTACATGCCTGTGCTCACAACTCCATGTAGGAGCTGCCAATTAATATCTCTGGTGGGCCATGGAACTACAATGGAGTACAGACAGGCCCACCAGGGTTCCTCACCCTCCGCAGGTGACAATAGGTTTCTCCACTTGGTGTTGGATGGGACGCAAGGGTGAGGAAGTGAATGGTATGAAGCATGAGCGCTTACAGATATTCTCTTGGCACAGCTTGGAGGCAGACCAGCTGGATGTCATTCAGCTGACTTAGGTGGCATGTTGGGGGCAGCCGGGGAGGCTCGTAGAGCAGGGGCCCGATAATGAGTTCTGGAGGGCCAGAGATGAGGGAGTGGACACAAAGCACACTCATGCAGGACCCACTCAAGGAAAGTCAGAATCAGGAGCCAAGGCTGCCCTCACTTCCCAGAGCACACAACAGTGGAGATGCAGGGTGGGCAGCCCCATGCACTGGCCGAGCACCACAGGGTCCACCCAATGTCTCAGATCAATTCTGGTGGCACCAGCCAGGGCTATCCTCCAGAACACCAAGGGTGACACCACCACCTGACCACAGAGATGGGAGCTGTTTGTAGCAGGAGTTCTGCAGCACACTGTGGAACTTTTAGTGCATGGTGGCCAGTTATTGTGTGGCAGGCTAGTGTGCTGTAGATTTATATCCCATCTTACTGTGCACGGCCAATGTAGACATGCCCTCG